CTTGTGTTTGCTGGGAGAGCCTTGATTACATCTTCAATTTCTTCTGTTGTTATTGGTCTGTTCAAGTTTTCTATCTCTTCCAGGTCCAGTTTCGGGAGACTATGTGTTTCTAGAAATGTTTCCATTTTGCTTAGATTGTTGAATTTGTTGCCAAATAATTGTTCATAGTAGTTGTTAATGGTCTTTCATATTTCTGTGGTGTCAGTTGTTACTTCTCTTTTATTTCTGATTTTGTGTATTTGGGTTCTCTCACTTTGTTTCTTGGTGAGTCTAGCTAAGGGTCCATCAATCTTGTTTATCTTTTCTAAAAACCTGCTCTTTGTTACATTGATCCTTTAAATTGTCTTTTTGGTCATTTATTTCTTCTCTGATCTTTACTATTTCCTTCCTTCTACTTGCTCTGGGGTTTTCTTTTGGTTTGCTTTCTATTTCTCTAAGTTTTGAGGTTAGATACTCTATTAGAGATTTTTCTTGTTTTTTTTTTTTGTTTTTTTTTTTTCCTCACCCGAGGATATTTTTCCATTTTTTTGTACAGATAGAGTGGGAGGGAGAGAGAGGAAGGGAGAGAGAGAGAGAAACATCGACGTGAAGGGACACATCGAGTGGCTGCCACCCACACGACCAACCAGGGCCGGGGACAAACTGCAACCGAAGTACGTGCCCTTAGCAGGAACCGAACCCGGGTCTCTCCGGACCGCAGGCCGACGCTTTAACCGCTAAGCCAAACTGGCCAGGGCTTTTTTTCTCATTTTTTGAGGTAGGCCTGTAGTGCTATGAACTTCCCTCTCACAACTGCTTTTGCTGCATCCCATAGATTTTGTGTTGTGTGTTCATTTTTATTGGTTTCCAGGACGTTTTTTATTTCTCCCTTGATCTCCTCAGTAACTGGTTCATTGTTTAATAACATGCTATTTAGCTTCCATGTGTTCAAGTGTCTTTGCATGTTCTTCTTGCAATTGATTTCTAGTTTCATGCCATTGTGATCTGAGAAGATGTTTGATATAATTTTAATCATCTTGAACTTGAACTTAGCTTCTGTCCTAACATGTGGTCTATCATTGAGAATGTCCCATGTGCACTTGAGAAGAATGTGAATTCTGTAGTTTTGAGGTGTAATTCTCTTTAGACATCTATTAAATGTATTTGGTCTAGTGCTTCATTTAGGGTCTCTATTTCCTTGCTCATTTTCTGTCTAGAGGATCTATCCAGTGATGTCAGCGGGGTGCTGAAGTCCCCTGCTATGATTCTATTGCTATCGATTTCTCCTTTGAAGTCCTCCAGAAGATTTTAAATATATTTTGGTGATCCTATATTGGGAGTATATATGTTTATCAAGGTTATATCTTCCTGTTGGATAGATCCTTTCAATATTATGTAGTAGCTTACTTTGTCTCTAGTTATGGACTTCATTTTGAAATCTATTTTATCAGACATGAGTGTTGCTACCCCAGCTTCTTTTCCTTTTCCGTTTGCTTGGAAGATTTTTTTCTATCCCTTTGCTTTCAACCTATGTGAGTCTTTTGTTCTGAGGTGGGTCTCTTGTAAACAACATATAGATGAGTCATGCTTTGTATTCCAATCAGCTTCTCCATGTCTTTTTATGGGAGCATTCAGTTCATTTACATTTAAGGTGATTATTGATATGTACTTATTTATTGCCATTTTTGTTTAGTATGTTCATATTGCTCTTTCTATTTCTCCTGCTAATTACAGCAGTCCTTTTAACATTTATTGGAGTGTTGGTTTGGTGCTAATGTATTCCCTTAGCCTTGTTTTGTCTGGGAAGCTCTTTATTTGACCCTCTATTTTGAATGATAACCTTGCTGGGTAGAGTAGTCTTGAATACAGATCCCTGTTTTTCAGGACCTTGATTACCTCATGCCATTCGCTTCTGGCCTGTAGTGTTTCTGTTGAGAAGACAGCTGAGAGCCTTATGGGGTTTCCTTTGTAGGTGACCTGTTGCTTCTCTCTTGCTGCTTTTAGGATTCTCTTTTTGTCTTTAATTTTTGGTACTTTGATTACTGTGTCTTGGTGTGAGCCTGTTTGTGTTCTTTTTACTAGCTGCTCTCTGTGCTTCTTGAATTGAATGCCTTCTTCCTTCTCCAAATTAAGAAAGTTTTCTGTCACTATTTCTTCAAAAATATTCTCTAACCGTTGCTCATTTTCTTCTTCTTTGGGGTCTCCTATGATGCAAATGTTATTACATTTCCAGTTGTCCCACAGTTCTCTTAAGCTGTCTTCCTGCTTTTTTATTGTTTTTTCCTTTTGGTTTTCTGATTGGTTGATTTTTTTTGTACCCTATGTTCGAATTCACTGATATGGTCCTCAGCTTACTTTACTCTGCTATTTAGTCTTTCCAATGTTTGTTTTTTTTTTATTAAGATTATTTCTAATATGTCATTGTTCATTTCTTCTTGGTGGTTTTTATTTTCAACTCATTGATTTTCAACATTTCTATGTCTTTACTCATGGTGCTCAAGTCCTTACACATGCTGTTGAGTTCCTCAAGATCATGGCTCTGAAATCTTGTTCTGTTAATTTGCTTAACCGCACCTCATTTATCTCATCTTTGGTAGAGGTATGTTGTTCTTTCCTTTGGCTTTTGTTTCTGTGTTTTACCATTTTGGCTATCACAGTGGGCTTTGGAGCCTGCCAAATTTTTCCTGTGGGTGTTGGTGTTATGCTGTATGTGACTCCCTCTCCAGGGTTTGGATGAAGCAGGGAGGACCCACTTTAAACACCACTGTCAAGTCATACTTTCCTGATTAGAGTTGCTAGCCCAGGTAATGGTAGTAATCCTTTAGCTTTTTTGCCTTGAGGCAATTAGTATTCGTCACCTGAAGAACCTTGGTTTCTGAGTTGAATAAAAAACTCCCTCAAGACAGAAAAAAATGTTGGTGGAGTGAATGAAAGCTACACAGACCATCTCCCTGGACCAAACTAGAATTACAACGAAAATAAAAACAAATCATCAGTAAGGGGCAACCAAAAGGCAGCTTGGAGGACGACATAACCAGGGACACTGACTCAATTCTGGTAGGCTTGCAAGGATGCGAGAGGGGGCCGGGAGCCCAAGGTCTGTCACAGCCTTAGCTGGGGCCAGTGGACTCAGCTGGAAACTGCGCCCTCAGCTGGGTCTGTGGCCTCAGCTGGGACCAGCAGCTGCCTTGGTTGATTCCTGCAACTGCGGCTGAGAGCAGAGCCCTCGGGTTAAAGTCACAGGTGGCTCCAGGGCACAAAGCCCAGACAGAGGCTAAATTGGCTGCAGCCACTTACCTTGGGCTCCAGCAAAGGGAAGGTAGAATGAACTGGAACTGTGTGGGGACTCTCGGGATTTGGAGGGTGCCCAGAGCTTTTGCTGAGTGCAGCCACACAGGACTGTGGTCAACTTACTCCTTCCCAGGGCCCTGGGGAGAGGAGGCAGCCCCACCCTTGGAGATTCAACCCCACCCAGTGGCCATTGAAATGCTAATTGAGACCCATTAACAACCACCATCTGCCCCACCCTCTGGAAATCCTCTTACACTGAGCACCTGAGGGAGTTTTTCAGTCTACTCAGAAACCAAGGTTCTTCAGGTGACCTGTACTAATAACCTCCAGGCACAAAAACTAGAGGATAACTACCATTCCCTGGACTAGCAACTCTAACCAGGAAAGTTAAGCCTTGACAGTGGTGTTTAAAGCAGGTCCTCCCTGCCTCATCCAAACCCAGGAGAGGGAGCCACAAACATCAGAATACCAACACCCACAGTGAAAATTTGGCAGACCCAAAGCATACTGTGATAGCCAAAATGGTGAAAAACAGAAACAAAAGCCAAATGGAAGAACAAGAGACCTCTACCAAAGATGAGATAAATGAGGTGCACTTAAGCAAGTTAATAGAACTACAATTCAGAGCCATGATCTTGAGGAAGCTCAACAACATGTGTAAGGACAGGAGCTCCATGAGTAAAAACAGAGAAATGTTGAAAATCAACAACTTGGAAATTAAAAACTACCAAGAAGAAATGAAGAATGACAAAGCAGAAATAAAGAACACATTTGAAAATCTAAATAGCAGAGTAGAGGAAGCTGAGGACCGGATCAGTGCATTAGAAGATAGGGTAGAAAAAATAAACCAATCAGAAAACCAAAAAGAAAAAATAATTAGAAAACAGGAAAACAGCTTAAGAGAACTGTGGGCCAACTGGAAACGTAATAACATTTGCATCATAGGAGTCCCCAAAGAAGAGGAAAATGAGCAAGGGTTAGAGAATATATTTGAAGAAATAGTGACAGAAAACTTCTCTAATTTGGTGAAGGAAGAAGGTATTCAAGTTCAAGAAGCACAGAGAGCCACAAGTAAAAAGAACCCAAACAAGCCCACACCAAGACACATAGTAATCAAACTGCCAAAAATTAAAGACAAAGAATTGTAAAAGCAGCAAGAGAGAAGCAACAGGTTACCTACACAGAAAACCTGACAATGCTCTCAGCTGACTTCTCAACAGAAACGCTACAGGCCAGAAGAAATGGCATGAGGTAATCAAGGTCATGAAAAACAAGAATCTGAATCCAAGACTACTCTACTCAGCAAGGCTATCATTCAAAATAGAAGGTCAAATAAAGAGCTTCTTGGACAAAAAAAAAGGGTAAGGGAATGTTATAATCCAGTAATTCTCCATCCGCTAGAGGAAGGAACCTCTCCTGGGTTCCTTGAACCTGGGTTGTTTTTGCAAAAATTCTTGAAGAGGAAGGTATGCATCAGCCATGACCACAAGGGTATTGACTATGAGCTTAACTAATCAGGAGATGCCAGATGGGGCAATGAGACATTCAAGGCTGGGGTCTAGATAATGTTAAGAAATATAAAATAAACAACTTGTACAGCTACTAACTGCTGATATCTGCTTCTGTACATGTAGCTTGCTTGCTCTACTAAACTCTTGAGTAACCCCTGTCCTATATAAGCAACCCTCCCCCTGAGCTTGGGGCTGCAGTTCTTCTCTGTGTAGGTTGGCTGCAGTCCCTGCACAGGTAATAAAGCTCCTAATATTCAAAATTACTCTATGTCCGAGTAAGGTTGATTCTCCTGCGTTACAACATTTGGAGGCCCCAGCGAGATCAACCGTGAGGTCCCCCACTCTAAGAGCTTGACCTCCTCGGAATAGGCGGAGGAAGCCTCCACATCCTCCACCGCTACATTGGGCTTTCAATTCGGTTTGGAGCTTTCTGTTTCATCCCAGGGTTGTGGGAATGTAGGTAAGGGGAGTCCCCTTTTGTTTGTTTGTTTGAGCCTTGAGGCATTTTCATTGGTGGTGATTGCAGGCGGGACACCTCACCAACTGCATCCCACTGGTCAGAACTGGACGCTGTTTTCTTGCTGTTGTTTCGGTTCTGCTCTGCAGTACCGAGTTGGTTTGGTCCCGCTGGTGTAGTGTAATTTTTGTCTGTCTGTTCGTGTTTCTGTGTTTCTTGTTTTGTGTTTTCATTGCCTTCTGCCTTCCAGGATGGGACAAGGAAATTCTTCCCCCCAGACTCCCCTGGAATGTGTGCTTGCTAACTTTCTGATTGCTTTAAGCACTCCTGTGACTATGAAAAAGCCTGAGATCCTGGTTTCCTGAGAATACTCTGTGAACTTGAATAGCCTGCCTAAGGGGTTAATTGGCCACCCGAAGGTAGTTTCAATTTGCAATTGGCTTTTACAGTCTGTCAGGAAATATACAAGAGCCTTAGTCACCTGGAACAAATTCCATATATTAATATTTGAATTGATATAACTACTGACAAACCCAATTATATTAAGAAATGTCAGTATCCAGAGGTTCAAATGAAAGGAAAAACGGTTTTGTTAACAATGCCTCACCCTGCCCTGAAGGACAGTTAACTCCTACCCCCCCCCCAGGAAATTCTATCTTTTCCTTCAGGACCCCTCTTGAGGATATACTAAAATGTTAATTAACCTGAGTTTGCCTACTTTGGGTTCTTATTACAGAAAAGCTAGAACATAAATTTAGATCTGTTGATGATCTATTGATTCAAAAAATGTCTATTGAAAATATGAATATATTTGCCAATCAGAGGAATGTTAATTACTTGTATTTGTCAAAAAAAATTCAACATTTCTAAAAGTTAAAAGTTCAGATTAAGTTAGAAAGAAATTCAGTTGTTGTGTCCCCTACATATAGGAGGACCCAATGTCTGAATAGATATGGATATATTCAGATGTACTGGCTTCTTTGTAGTGAGGTCTCAATGCCTCTCTGCAAGGCTTATTAACATTCTCACAGGCAAAGTGTTTAACCATTGAAGTGCCAGCCCGGTCCAGCTGCAGAAAGGGGCATATTCTTTCCATGCCAGCCTGGGCTACTCCTCCACAGTGGGTTTGGTAGCAGCTAGTTTTCAACAGGCTTCTCTGAACTTTAGGAAGTTAAATATAGGGATCCCAGGCACGGGTACAAAGTGCTCTTGGAGAGTTAAAAAACACTCTGCCCCACGTAAACATATGTGCTAGGATGTTGCTCCCTTTCCTGCATCCTTTTGTAAACCTGGGGTCAGGGGAAATGTTCCCATTCCTCTGACTGCAGTCGGACCCAAATACTGTCAGGGGAAGGGCTTCCTTAGACACTTTTCACCATGTTCTCCTGTTAGGCCTATTGGCCCAATTGGCTAAATTAGCAAAGGTAGTAGTAGCAGACTTAAGGGAAACAGGGCACATGGAATAGGGTCACCCTAGAAAGGGAAACATGAGGAAGGGTCAGGACAACAGGTCTAGGTCCCAATTAGGAATAGAAAAGACAAGGGCAAAGTCAGGTATAGAGGAACAAAATGAAAAGCCGTCCTTAATTTAGGAAAATAACAGGCTAGGGCTCCTTCCAGCTGAGCCCTCTGGAGCCCAGAATAATACAAGACAATAGGGGACAAACTAGTTAGTTTCCTGGTAGATATTGGTGCAGCAGACTCAGTCCTGACCGAGCCAATGGGACCCTAACCTACCCCTAGACTTCAAAGAGGACTATAGACCTTGGGAAAAATACTGTGACTCATTTGTTTCTGTTCCTGCCAGAATGCCCATATCCCCTACTCGAATGTGATCTCCTCCAGAGATCATTCAATTGCTGGCCACTGCCACTCCAGGCCAGTCCTCGCATCAAGTTCCCCAGGACATTGCTGTCAATCCTGCCAGCCTGCCTCCTGCATGATGACCCGGAGAAACCTCTGCAGGACTGCCTGGAGGCAATCGGCACTGTAAAAGGCCACCCAGACCTCAAGGATGACCCACTGCCATCATCAGATGACGTATTGTTCACGGATGGGAGCAGCTATGTCCAGGAAGAAATCAGGTATGCTGGGGCAGCAGTAGTAACTCTGGACCGTGTCATTTGGACTCAGTCATTAAACAGAGAAACTTCAGCCCAATGAGCTGAACTCATAGCCCTAATCCAGGCTCTCTGATGGGGCAAGGGGAAACCGTGGTGCAAATAAGGAAGCTCGACAGATGGCCCTAAAACCATTGGGGATCTCTCCAGATATCAGTCACCTTGCCAAACACAAGTTTGCCTCTGACTCCTACTTACACTAGGTCAGAAAATGACTTAATCACGGAGAAACAAGCCACGAAGAAAAGCAATGGATGGTAAATACTGTCGGATGGGGGGTTGTGTTAGTCCCAGAGGCTCTAGGTCGGACTTTGGTCAACCAGCTGCATCAGACTACCCAGTTAGGTTACACCAAGCTTATTGAACTCCAGTAAGGTCACAGGACAAAGGAGAAGGCAGAGGGAAGCAGGGATGTGTAGGTCTGTGTAAGGAGGAGGAGAAGAAAAGCTAGGGGATGTGCAGACAGTAGATAGATTGAACAAGCTCTCAGGTTCACGTCAGGTGAGGGACTAAGAAAGTCGCAGAGGGTCTGTGTAAGTTAAAGAAGGATTGTATAAGTCGCAGAGGGTCTGTGTAAGTTAAAGAAGGATTATATAAGTCGTAGAGGGTCTATCAGCAAGTTGAAGAAGGATTATAGACAGGGAAAAAATAAAAAGAAAAGGATTATGCAGAGGAAATAAAAAGATAAGGAAGGATAAAAGAAAGGGACATACATATTACAGGAAGACAAGACATTGGAGGAATACTCAAGAAGGGAAGAAGATAGGACACTGAGAGGGGAGAGCTTGTCCCTAGTAATAGAATAACAGTCTGATAAATTAGAAGCTCCATTGTGCTTACTACCCATAGAGTTCTGGGCAGGTAGAGCGCATGAACAGGACCTTAAAGGAAACCTTAACCAAATTTACTTTAGAAACTGGAGAAAACTGGACCACTCTGCTCTCCCTCACCCTCTTACAGTTCTTACAGGCTCTGCAGTCTGCCCAGAAGGCCATCCATAAACACATCTGTGATGCCCTGTCTGTGCCCACCTCAAACCCTGTGCACCCTTTCCAGCTCAGGGATTTGGTATAGGTAAAGAAATTTACCACTCAGGGACTAACTCTGGCCTGGAAGGGACCATAGACTCTCATCCTGCCTGCACCAACGGCTGTCAAGGTCAATGGCATCCTGGTCTAGCTGCACCATTCCTGGATGAAGGCAGAAAAAGCGGAATGGACAGTGCAGGCCTCTCCAGATCCTTAAAAATGAGACTTTTACATTTATTGGGACTCTAATTTTTCTGATTATAACTGTACAGGGGAATCTTTATAGATCTGTACTCCAGTAGAACTGGGAACTTAGAAATAGGATATTGGGAAAAATCTTAAGAGATGTCACCACAAAGGGGATGTAATAACTCCATTCTGACACTCAGTTACTACACGTACACACCCTATCAGACTTTTTTTGTAAACATAAAGGCCTTGAGAAACCCAAAGAAAAATATAATGATAAGGGGTTAATAATAGACTTGGGGAACTCAGAGGAACCATGAGAAAAAAGACATTAATAATTGCCTTGACCTAACTAGCTCCTCTCTCCCCCTTCTCTGTATCAACCCCCATTAACGGTGCCAAAAGCGGCGCTAAGAGAATGTAGTTTTTTCCTGTAGTTTGTGCCTTTAAAAGCAGACAACAAAGAAGGCAGGTTGCTGAGGATTTGGGGAATGCCCTCTCCCCCGGCCCGCCCATGTAATAAAGTGCTCCTTTACAATTCGGCTGTGCATCTCTAGTTATCTTGCTGACACCTTACAGCATTTAGAGCACTAAGGGAAGCTTGCTTTTTTCATGCCAATAGATAGCAGTCATCAGAGGGAGTATTCAGGTTCTTAGGAAGCACCTTGCAGAACAGGCCAGAAGCGAAGAGGCCTCTAGCAGCTAGTTCAAAGGCTTTTGTAACTGGTCCCCCTGGCTCACTACTCTTCTCTCTGCTCTAGCAGGCCCCCTCATACTCCTATTTCTAGGACTATTTCTGTAGACCTATAATGATAAACAAATTAATAGCTTTCAAAAGAGAGAGGGTCCAATCTGTCAACTTATTAGTCCTGGCCTCTCATTACCAAAGGTTATCATTAGATCAAAGATTTGATCTGTACATAAAACCAGTGGGGAATGTTATAATCCAGTAATTCTCCATCCGCTAGAAGAAGGAACCTCTCCTGGGTTCCTTGAACCTGGGTTGTTTTTGCAAAAATTCTTGAAGAGGAAGGTATGCATCAGCCATGACCACAAGGGTATTGACCATGAGCTTAACTAATCAGGAGATGCCAGATGGGGCAATGAGACATTCAAGGCTAGGGTCTAGTAAATGTTAAGAAATATAAAATAAACAACTTGTACAGCTACTAACTGCTGATATCTGCTTCTGTACACGTAGCTTGCTTGCTCTGCTAAACTCTTGAGTAACCCATGTTCTATATAAGCAACCCTCCCCCTGAGCTCGGAGCTGCAGTTCTTCTCTGAGTAGGTTGGCTGCAGTCCCTGCGCAGGCAATAAAGCTCCTAATATTCAAAATTACTTTGTGTCCGAGTGAGGTTGATTCTCCTGGGTTACAACAGGAATACATTAGCACCAAACTGACTCTGCAAAAAATGTTAAAATGACTGCTGAAATTAACAATAGAAAAGAGAAGAAAAATCAAACCACACACCAAAAAATGGCAATAAATAAGTACATGTCAATAATCACCTTAAATGTAAATGGCTTGAATGCTCCCAAAAAAATCACAGACTAGCTGATTGGATAAGAAAGCATGACTCATCTATATGTTGTTTACAAGAGACCCACCTTACAACAAAATAGTCACATAGGTTGAAAGTGAAGGGATGGAAAAAAAATCTTCCAAGCAAACGGAAAGGGAAAAAAAGCTGGGGTAGCAATACTCATATCTGATAAAATATATTTCAAAACGAAGGCCATAACTAGAGACAAAGAAGGCCACTACATAATATTGAAAGGATCTATCCAACAGGAAGATATAACCTTAATAAACATATATGCTCCCAATATAGGAGCACCAAAATATATTACAAATCTTTTGGAAGACTTCAAAGGAGAAATCGATAGCAATACAAGCATAGCAGGGGATTTCAACACCCCGCTGACAGCACTTGATAGATCCTCTAGACAAAAAATTAGCAAGGAAAAAGAGACCCAAATGAAGCACTAGACCAAATGGATTTAATAGATATCTACAGAGAATTACAACCCAAAAACTACAGAATTCACATTCTTCTTAAGTGCACATGGGACATTCTCAAACATAGACCACATGTTAGGGTACAAACTAAGTCTCTACAAGTTCAGGAAGATTGAAATCATATCAAGCATCTCAGATCAATCATATCAAGCATTCTCAGATCACTATGGCATGAAACTAGAAATCAATTGCAAGAAAAACATACAAAGGCATTTGAACATATGAAAGCTAAATAGCATGTTATTAAACAATGAATGGGTCACCGAGGAGATCAAGAAAGAAATTAAAAACTTCCTGGAAACCAATGCAATTGAAAACACAACAACACAAAATCAATGGGATGCAGCGAAAGCAGTTCTGAGAGGGAAGTTCATAGCACTAAAGGCCTACCGCTAAAAACTAGAAAAATCTCTAAAAGACTATCTAACCTCACAACTTAAAGAAGTAGAGAGAAAACAAAAAGAAAACCCCAGAGCAAGTAGAAGGAAGGAAAAGGAAGGAAATAGTAAAGGTCAGAGCAGAAATAAATGACATAGAGACCAAAAAAAAAAAACAATTCAAAGGATGAATGAAACAAAAAGCTAATTTTTCAAAAAGATAAACAAGACTGATGGATCCTTAGCTAGACTCACCAAGAAACAAAGAGAGAGACCCCAAATACACAAAATCAGAAATGAAAGAGGAGAGGTAACAACTGACACCACAGAAATACAAAAGATCCTTAACAACTACTATGAACAATTACATGGCAACAAATTCGACAATCTAATTGAAATGGACAAATTTCTAGATAAACATAGTCTCAAAAAATTGGACCAGAAAGAGATAGAAAACATGAACAGACCAATAACAACAGAAGAAATTGAAGATGTAATCAAGACTCTCCCAGCAAACAAAAGCCCAGGCCCAGATGGCTTAATGGGGGAGTGTTACCAAACATTCAAAGAAGAACTAACACCCATTCTCCTTAAACTATTACAAAAAATTCAAGAAAAAGGAAGACTTCCAAATTCGTCTTATAAAGCCAGCATAATTCTAATTCCAAAACCAGAAAAAGACACTACAAAGAAAGAAAATGACAGGCTAATATCCCTGATGAACATGGACGCCAAAATCCTGAACAAAATACTAGCAAATCGGATCCATCAATACACCATGGTGGATAAAAAAATTATTCACCATGACCAAGTGGGATTCATCCCAGGGATGCAAGACTGGTACAATATGTGCAAATCAATAAACCACATAAATAATATGAAAAATAAAGACCACATGATCATATCAATAGATGCAGAAAAAGCTTTCGACAACATCCAGCATCCATTTCTGATAAAAATGCTCAGCAATGTGGGAATACAAGGGTCATATCTGGACATATTAAAAGCCATATGTGAAAGACCTATAGCCAACATCATACTCAATGTGCAAAAACTAAAAGTATTTTTCTTAAGAAGGGAACAAGGCAAGGATGCCCACTTTCGCCATTCTTATTTAACATAGTACTGGAAGTCTCAGCCACAGCAGACAGGAAGAAAAAATAAAAGGGATCCAAATTGGAAAGGAGGAAGTGAAACTATCATTATTCGCAGATGACATGATACTATACGTAGAAAACACCAATGACTCCATCAAAAATTTACTTGACTTAATAAATGAATTTGGAAATGTAGCAGGATATAAAATTAACGTCAAGAAATCTATGGCATTCTTATACACCAATGATGAACTCAAAGAAAGAGAAACTAAGAAAACAATCTAATTTTCCATTGTGGCAAAAGAAATAAAAAATAAAAAATAAAAAGAAAAAAAAAGATACCTAGGAATAAACTTAACCAACGAAATAAAGGACCTGTTCCAGAATACTAGAGGTCATTGAAGAAAGAAATTGAGGAAGATATAAAAAAAGTGGAAGCACATACACTGTTGTTGGATTGGAAGAAGTAATATCATTAAAATGTCCATACTACCCAAAGCAATCTATAGATTCAATGCAATCCTCATCAAAATACCAACGCATACTTCACAGTATTAGAACAAGTACTTCAAAAGTTTATATGGAACCAAAAAAGACCTCGAATAGCCACAGCAATCAAGAAAAAGAAATCAAAGTTGGAGGGATTACATTACCGGATTTCAGGTTATACTACAAAGCCACTGTAATTAAAACAGCCTGGTACTGACACAAGAACAGGCATATAGACCAGTGGAACAGAACAGAGAACCCAGAAATGGACCCAAGGGAATATGCTCAATTAATATTTGACAAAGCTGGCAAGATCATACAGTGGAGTAAAGACAGCCTCTTTAATAAATGGTGTTGGGAAAATTGGACAGCTACATGCAGAAAAATGAAACTAGACCATTGGCTTACACCCTACACAAGAATAAACTCAAAATGGATAAAAGATTTAAATGTGACTCATGAGTTCATAAAAATTCTAAAAGAAACTGTAGGCAACAAAATTTCAGACATCATACGCAGCAGTTTTCACTGATACATCACCTAAGGCAATAGAAACAAGGGAGAAAATGAACACATGGGACTACATCAAACTCAAAAGCTTCTGCACAGCAAAAGATACAATCATCAAAACGAAAAGGTTACCCACTGTATGGGAGAGCATAATTGCAATTATATATCAGATAAGGGGTTAGTTTTCAATATTCATAGAGTGCTCATACAACTCAACAAAAGGAAAACAAAGAACCCAATTAAAAAATGGGCAGAGGAACTAAATAGACACCTGTCCAAGCAGGATATACAAATGGCTAAGAGACATATGAAGAAATGCTCAACATCACTAATCATCAGAGAGATGCAAATTAAAACAACAATAAGGTATCACCTCATACCTGTCAGAATGGCCGCCATCAACAAATGATCAGACAAGTGTTGGTAAGGGTGTGGAGAAAAGGGGATTTTTGTACACTGCTGGTGGAAATGCAACTGATGCAGCCACTATGAAAAACAATATGGTGTTACCTCAAAAAATTAAAAATTGAAATTCCATTTGACCCAATGATCCCACTTCTAGGAATATACCCTAAGAAGCCTGAAACACCAATCATAAAGAATATATGTACCCCCATGTTCATAGCAGCACTATTTACAATAGCTAAGATCTAGAAGCAACCCAAGGGTCCATCAGTAGACGAATGGATAAAAAAGCTGTGGTACATATTCACAATGGAATACTATGCAGCTGTAACAAAGAAAGATCTCTTATCCTTTGAGACGACATGGAGGAACCTGGAAATTATACTAAGTGAAACAAGCTAACAGAGGAAGACAAGTATCATATGATCTCAATTATTTGTGGAATATAATGAACATAACAGTCTGAGGAATGTGTAGTCTCAGAGACGTGGAAGTGGTTACAGACTGACAATCCCTGAAGAGGGGTTGGTGGGGGAGAGATAAACCACAGAACTTATATGCATGTATGCATGAACAATGGATATGGACAACAAAGCTGGGTACGGTACAGTACATGGATGGAGTGGGAGGGGGAAATAAATGGGGGAATAAGGAGAAACATCTTTACGGAAAATTAATTGATAAAAAATAAAAATCTCCCTCAAGTGCTGAGCATAATAGGATTTCTGGAGGGTGGGGCAGATGCTGGTTGTTAATGGGCCTCATTTTGCATTTCAATTGCCACCGTGTATGATTGAATCTCTGAGGGAAGGGCTTCCGGGTCTTCCCAGGGCCCTGGGAAGGAGTAAGATGATCATAGTCCTGTGTGGCTGCAACTCAGCAAAAGCTCTGAGTGCCCTCCAAGTCCCAAGTGTCCACACACAGTTCCAGTGCAGTCTGCCCTCCCTCTGCCGGACCCCAAGTCGAGTGGCTGCTGCTAATTTAGCCTCTGTCCAGGCTCTGGGCTGTGGAGCCGCTTGGGCCTTTAACCCGAGGGTGCCTCTCCCAGCTAAGGCCGTGGCTCTATGCCAAGGCTGTGGCAGCTCCCAGCAGAGGGCGTAGCACCTAGTCGAGGGCACATCTCCCAGCCGGGCAGCAGGTCCCAGCCCAGGCCGCTGCGGACCGTGGGCTCACGGCCCCCTCTAGCGTCTTCTCAAGCCTACCAGGATTGAGTCAGTGTCCCTGGTTATATTGCCCTCCAAGCTGCTTTTCGGTTGCCATTTCCTGACTATTTGTCTTTATTTTCGTTGTAATTCCAGTTTGGTCCTGGGAGATGGTCTGTGTAGCTTCCATTCACTCTGCCGCTATTTTCCTAGTCCAATAAAAATTTTTTTAAGGTAAACATTCAACTACCATATGACCCAGAAATTGCATTTCTGAGCATTTATCCCTAAGAAATTGAAAATTACATCCTCATAGGAACCTGTACATGAACCCTGGTGGGTTTGGCTCAGCAGCTGGAGTGTCGGTTTGTGGACCAGAGAGTCCTGGGTTTGGTTCCCGATAGGCGCATGTACCAAAAAAAAAAAAAAAAAAAAGGAAGAAAGAAACCTGCACATGAATGTTTATATCACATTACTGCAATAGAAAAAAAAAGAAAAAAAAAAAAAAACTGGCAATGCCCTGGCCAGTTTGGGGCAGCAGTCAGAGTGTCGGCCCATGGACTAGAGAGTCCCAGGTTCAGTTCTCTCACCCAGTTTCTCTCTCTCTCTTCCTCCCTCTCGCCCTCCTACTCTATCTGAAGATAACTGCAAAAATGTCCTTGGGTGAGAATAAAAAAAAGAAAATCTGGCAATGATCAAAACGTCCTTCTTGTAGCTGTCTATTTAAATGGTGGTACATACACACCATGGAATACTACTCAGCAATCTAAATGAATTAACTATTGAAACAAGTGGGAACCTAGATAGTTCTCAACGGCATTGTTGTAAATGAAAAAAGTGAATCTCAGAAGGTCACATACTTTATGATTCTATTTTTACAATATTCTCATTATAGAGACTGAAAATTAATTAGTTGTGCCAGGGGTTAGGAATAATTAGAAGGCAGAAGTGGGGTGTGATTATAAAATAGTAGCACAAGGAAGCTCTTTGTGGTGAAAAAAATTGTTCTGTATATTGATTTTAGTGGTAGTTACATAAATCTACATATGATAAAATCATTCAGTATTATACACATACAATATACCAATGCACATTACCTGGTTTTCATATTATATTATATTTATATAAGATGTATGCATTAGAAATAATGAAAGGTATATGGGACCCCTCTGTACTGTTTTGGCCATTTCCTGAGACTCTATTTCACAAAAAATTTTTGAAAGGTAAATTCCCAACACTTTCCTAATTTTAATAAAAATATAAACCACAGATCCAAGGACCTCATTGAACCCCAAGAATACCTTAGCACATTATAGTCAAATTTCTACAAAATATGTTAGGAAAGTTTACTGCCTTTTCATCAGAAACAATGCATGCCAAAAGGCAATAGGATGGCATCTTTGATACTGAAAAAAGAAAGAAAGAAAATGTCAACCTACAAGTGTTTACGCAGCCAAATTACTTTTTAAAAAAGAAAGCAGCTCAGCCAGTGAGCAGAGGCTCAGTGGATTAAGCTTCATCCCATGGACTGAGAGGTCCCGGTTTGATTCCCAGTCAGGGCACAGGCCCGGGGTTGCGGGCTCGATCCCCAGTAGGGGGAGTGCAGGAGACAGACGATAGATGTTTCTCTTTCACATCAATCTTTCTGTCACTCTCTCCCTTCTTCTCTCTCTAAAATATAAATAAAAAACATTTTAAATAAAATAAAAAGAAGATAAAATAGATACATTTTCAAATAAACAAAAGCTGAGAAAATTCATCAGAAGAAGGCCTACACTATCAAAATTATTAAAGAAAATTCTCAAAGTAATGAAAAATTATAACATTGAAACTTTGATCTACACAAAGAAATGAAGATATCATAATGGCAAAAATGTGGCTAAATATAAAATATTTTTGTGATTTTAAAATTTCTTTGAAAAAATATAGACTACTTATATCAGAAGTAATAATAATTTAATATAAGATTTATAACATTTCAAAACAATATATCACAACAACAGCACAAAGAACGGTAGGTAAATGTTGGTATAATATTATGGGTTTTTTATATTATAGGTGAAGTGGCATAATATGTTAACTTCTATATAATAGTCATTTATTTATTTTTTTATTTATTTATTTTTATTAATTAATTTTTGTTACAGATGTTTCTCCTTTTTCCCCCACTGATTCCCCCCTCCTCCTCCCTCCCTGCCCTTTCCCCAGTTTGTTGTCCATGTCCATTGTTCATGCATACATGCATATAAGTTCTGTGGTTTATCTCTCCTCCACTCCCCCCCATTTAGGGGATTGTCAGTCTGTACCCCACCGCCACGTTTCTGAGACTACCCCCTTCCTCAGACTGTTATGTTCATTATATTCCACAAATAAGTGAGATCATATGAAACTTGTCTTTCTCTGTTTGGCTTGTTTCACTTAGGATGATACTTTTCAGGTCCCTCCATGTAGTCTCAAATGCATAATATATATTTGCATCACATACATACATGTGTTCTGAGACAGGGTCATTATGATTCACCATATGGGTACATGACATAACAAAATTTATAAACTCCTCATTGTAAGAAGGAACAGAAAAGATCCACCAGGTTATTCAAGGTATGTAAGTACTGGGAGGTGTTTTAAGGAGGGTGAACAAATGTGTTTGTACTTTCCATCTCTTTATCTTTAAACTATATGGTAATAATGCTCCCTGACAAGGATAAGTTGGATCCCACTGATGAATTTTACTGCCACAGCAACTGTAGCCATTATAACTCCCCTTATTTTAATAATTTTAAAGACCTACTGAGGGAGATGGACATTGTTTCCCAGAAGTAAATACAGCTCAGCTGTACTTTGGAACAATTGATCAACCTTGCTACTTGCACAATCTACTAACAAAGGTTATGCAGTGCCTGAACACAATCATGGCAGAATCACCAGGCCTTGTCACCATCTGTCTTTTAGGATATCTACTCAGTGCTGAATGTACAGGTATGTTTCCTTTTAAAATATACATTGAGTATGCTTGTCTTTTAGGTATAGAACTGTCTGGTGCTGTTTTGTTTTGGTTTTTTTTCACTAAATAATTACAGGATTTGACAGCAATGTTTAAGATTCTAGTAGATAGCATGTGTGTAAGCAAGTATGGTTCTCTGGTATCTGTGTCTCCCTAATTTTTTAAACTAAATAGATTTACAATGCTTATGGTACATTTTTTAATGGACACCTTTAGACTATGATTTACCTATATGTAATACCTCTTAGAAAATTGTCATCTCTTTGGTTAAAAAATTAAAAGTGGGAAAATGCTTTAACAAGGAAATAGTAAAATATGGATAAAAAATTAACTGTCATTTGGTTACTTTTACTCACCACTTTGAAATCAAAATGGGAAACACTAAAGCCACAAATAATGATTTTATCTGCACAAAAAGTTTGGTTTTAAGATATATGATATATTTCAAATTTTTATAACTATGTAATAAAGCATGCCTTTAATTTTAAAAATCTATAAAATAATATACCTTCAATTTAAAGTTTTAGTTCAAACAGACAAACTTTTCATTTATAAGTTGTTATTTATCACTAACATTTTGTCATGGATCAGGAAAAAACTATTGTATCCCTGATTTTAAACATCTCAGAGTTAATGCATATGGAAATGCAATACTCGAGCTTCTAGGGGAGCAAAGCCAGTCCAATAATTGACATAAAGAGAGAAGTTGGTTAATGCAATTTGGCTCACTTGGTTTTTTCACAGCTTTAGTGACTTTATGCACTGTCTCCAAAGGAAAGCACACAAGAAAGAAATTACCTCATTTAGACAAACAGCATGTTCTCACAGGAAGCATTTATTACACTTACTTGTCAGCCTACTATAATCAAATCTAGTAGTTGACAGTGCCAGGATCAGGGTGGCAACTCTAAGTATTCCCAAAAAGCAGACTGGCCCCATGGTTCCTACTCCAGACATGATGTCAGACTGAAATGCAGAAATAATGATATAAGAATCCAAAGGTTAAATCAAACTAGCAAAGTGCATAGATTCCAAGAATAAAGAAATTTAGCTGGAAAACTTGTAAAGCAGGATATGAACTTAAGTCTTGACAAATACCTCCTCATTGTGAGCTCACCAGGACAAATAATCCAAGCCCTTTCTTCAGGATAATTGGTGAGATAATGGAGGTTTTAAGAGGGCTACTGACCATTTGAAGAACATCAGATATTGAAAAAAAAAGGACAGATATGAATGGAAAAAAGAGGAACTGGGATTTCAGAGCTTGGGAAATAATGACTAAAAGAGAGAAACCCGAAAAGAGGTTAGATATAAGATCCTTGAACAATACTGGGGAGAAAGGCAGTGTGATTCTGGAGTCACTGGAGTCAAAGACAATAGGCTCAATTTTTAACTTTTTGAGGTAACACCATAGTGTTTTTCACAGTGGTTGCACCAGTCTGCATTCCCACCAAGAGTGTACTAGAGTCCCCTTTTCTCCACACCCTCATCAACACTTGTTATTTGATGATTTGTTGATGGCGACCACTCTGACAGGTGTGAGGTGATTACCTCATAGTTGTTTTAATTTGCATCTCTCTGATGATTAGTGATGTTAAACATTTCTTCATATGTCTCTTGGCAATTTGTATGTCTTTTTTGGAGAGGTGTCAATTTAGCTCCTCTGCCCTAGGAATATAACCTAAGAAATCTGAAACACCAATCAGAAAGAATATATGTACCCTTATGTTCATAGCAGTACTATTTACAATAGCTAAGATCCGGAACCAACCTAAGTGTCTATCAGTAGATGAGTGGATTAAAAAGCTGTGGTACATGCAGGTATGCGTGAACAATGGACATGGACAACAAAGCTGGGTACAGAGCAGGGAGGGAGAGAAGGGAGGAAATCAGTGGGAGAAAAAGGAGAAATATCTGTAACAAAATTAAATTAATTAATTAAAAAAATTTTAAAAACCTGTGGTACATGTACACAATGGAATACTATGCAGCTGTAAGACAGAAAGATCTCCTATCCTTTGAGATGGCATGGAAGGACCTTGAGAGTATTATGCTACGCGAAACAAGCCAAGCAGAGAAAGACAAATATCACATGATCTCACTTATTTGTGGGATATAATGAACTAAACAAACTGATGAACAAAATTAACCCAGAGACATAGAAGTGGAGTACAGACTGACAAGCCTCAGAGGGGGAGGGTTTTCTGGGGGAAGAGATAAACCACAGAACTTACATGCATGACCAATGAACATAGACAACAAAGCTGGGGATAGGGCAGGGGGAAAGGGGAGGAGGCTGTCAATGAGGGAAAAAGGAGAAACATCTGTAACAAAAAAAAAATTAATAAATAAATAAATTTAAAAACAAGACAATAGGCTCCTTAGGAGAGAGTCAGGGAAATTTCCCTAAGGTGGGCAGTATTGACACAGCATTCTCTGTTGCTGTTAAATTGTTATTGACTTCTAAAAGCAGTTTTGTTGAATGATTTACTGAGCTGTTGCAATTTCATGGCTGCTGCCCTTATGTTTTATTACATCAATTTGGATTTTGAAATCAAAACTATTCTGTGAAAACAATTCAGTTTTGTAAAGAGCATGGACCAAAACTTTCTTTCATTCAGAATGAGTGAATGAAACGAATGAAAGACGACTTCAATCTGTATACTTCACAAAACTTAAAAAAATTAACTACTATTATTGTGCCAGGTACTGTGGCAAGGTACAAGAGACATGGGAATAAATGAGACTCACCTCTTTGGCCTAAAGCACCATGAGGTAATAAAAGAGAATTCAATATAATGTGTTAAAATGTGTACCAGGCACTAAAGGAGCATGGAAAAAGAAATACATTAACTAGGGAAACACTTGACAAAGAGACAATATTTTGAGCTGGGTCATAACAAATGAGTAGATTCACTCTTCTTAAATGTCTGATCCAGGGCACTGTCTGCAGAGAGGATCACTCATGTGCAAAGATCCAGATCCACAAAGACTGTGAGGGCTTTCAATAACAGAGTGTTCTGAATATTGAATATGACAAGTGAGGCCGGATAGTTAGGCAGGGTCAGATCATCTGATAATGAAAGCCCTAAACTAAGGAGTTTAGACAATAGAAAGCAAAGTGTAGTCATCAGAAGTACAAACAAATACCACTAATGGCTGATTTTGGATATTCAGCTGACTAATTTCTAATCAATTCTTTGAGGAAGGGGTGGCAAGAGCAAGAAAGACCAGTCTTGAGACTATTGCAATCATCCAGGGAAGGCATGAGAACCTGATCCTGGACATTAGCAGTATAGACAGAGGAGGGAGAGGAATTCAAGTAACATTAAGGAAGTAAAAATTATATGACTTAACCATCTGGGTATGGAAGGAGAACAGGTTTAGAGAAAGTATACAGAGTATGTCTTGGGCATATTGTGTGATTACTGGACACAGCTTAGTGCCTAAGAGCATGGACTGTGCAAATGACTGCCAAAGTCGAAATCTTGGCTCTGACACTTTAGTATGTTACCTGGGGCAAATTACTTAACCTCTCTGAACCTCTGTTTTTCTCAGTCACAAAAATGACATGACAGTACCTGTCTCATGGGATTGTTGTGAGGATGGAATGAAATAATGGATGCAAAGCACTAAGCACAGTGTCCAGCACATCAAAAGCATTAAAGAAACATCATCTCCCTTTCTTCACATTTCAATGTACAGTTAGGAAGCTGTAAAGATGATCTGGAATTCAGAATATATATCTGACTAGAGAGGAATATTTGGAATGCACTGTCAAATAATAGTAGTGACAATTATGTGTAAGAGGATCCAGAGAAAGAGGATGGATATTGTGGCACCTAGTATAGTGCCTGGCAGTAGTGACTATTCAGAAAATCACGCTGAAAAGAGTCAGGGCTGGATTATGGTGAGGCATGCAGGGCAAGAAGGGTATGAGTTACTTGCACAAACTGAAAGAGAATGCCACCTTACATTTTCAGCACTAAATACCGTGTTTACCTCACCCCAGTCCTGTCTTGACAAGGATGGTTGGAGTGAAAAGGGAAAAGGCTGAACCTGGAGCCTGGGAGAACTCTGAACATTTAGGTTGCAGGCAGAAGAAGGGAAATGAACTGATTCAAGTGGTGGATGAACAACGAGAGTTAGAGCAAAAACGAGAACCAGAATAGAGTGATTTCACGGAAAGAGTGTCCCAAAAAGGGAGAGAGAAAAAGTCAGGGATGGTTCAGAGCAGTCAGGAAATACGTAAACTTAAAATTATACTTTAAGAGGTCTTCACTGATTCTGACAACCATCATTTCATTATATGGATGGCAGTAAAGAAGGGAAAGAGCCAAAGGGAATTGAGGAAACTCTGAGACAGTGTAAATTTTATAAGCTGATGAATTTAATACCGTCTATATGAGCAGAAACTAACTGGACAGCCAAATCACTGAGTCCCATCAAATTGAGATCCAGTTCCATTTTCCAGGAAGAACAGGAATAAGTGAGTTGATAGGGAAGAAGAGAGATTATGACATATACCAACCTACACATATTATTTTCTCACTGATCCTGTCAAAAACCTTTTGAGGCACATATTCTTTTCCTTTTTTTTTTTTCCTTTTTTCTGCCTTACCTTTATTACTGAAAGTATTACAGATGTCTCTCCTTTTTACCCCCTTTGACATGCCCCACCCTACTCCCACTACTCTCCCCTTTGCCTTCACTGCACTGTTGCCTGAGTCAACTGGTTATGCCTATAAGCATATAAGTTCTTTGGTTTATTTCTTCCCACCTACCCACACCCTATCCCTCAGAGGTTTGTTCGTCTGTTCCCTACTTCCATGTCTCTGGGTCTATTTTGTTTGTTGGCATATTTTGTTTATTATATTCCACAAATAAGTGAGATCATATGACACTTGTCTTTCTCTCACTGGCTTATTTTGCTTAGCATAATACTTTCCAGGTCCCTCCATGTAGTCTCAAAGGA